GAGTAGTTTGGGTATTAGAGTAATGCTGTGTCATTTTATGAGTTTTAACGTATTCTCTTCTATTTTCTTGAAGAGATTGAGTAATACTGGTTTAATTCTTTTTTAGATTGTGTTAGAATTTGCCATTGCAACTCCTGGGTGTGTAAAGTTTTTGCATAATCTTATTAACAACAAACTGAATTCCTTTAATAGTTACAGGAATTGTTATAGAATAGCTGTAGGACTTTAATAGTCATGTAACTCCAATAGCTATAATAAGTTGTTACAGACTATTAATATTTATCCTTTTTTTTCTTGTGTGACTTTATGTAGTTTGTGGTTTTGAGGAATTAATCCATTTACTCTAAGTTATCCAGTTCATGTGTGTAATATTTATTATTGTATTATTATTGTATTCACTTATGCTTAGAATGAACTAGAGATCTGAAATGATTTATTTTGTTCTGTTTGTTTTGATCATTTTGTTCGTTTTTGAGACAGGGTCTTACTGTGTAACCCAGGCTTGCCTGGAAATCTCGATCTTCCTGTCTTAGAGCTACAATTGTGTGCTACCTTGCCCAGCTCTTTTGTTCTTAACATTGTCTTCACTCTCCCCCACCCCACTTGTCTTGATCAGTCTTCCTGGAGATGTACCAAATTTATTGATCTTAAAAAAAAAAAACTGTTGTGTGTGTGGTACTGGGGTTTGAACTCAGAGCCATACTTGCTAGACAAGCACTCTTACCACTTGAGCCACAACTGCAGCCCTGTTAATCCTTTTAAATAACTGGGTTCTTATTTCATTGATTTTCTGTGTTGCTGTCCTGTTTTCAATTTCACTGATATAAACTTGCTGCTCTAACTTTATTATTTCCTTCTGTTTCCTTTGGTTTTGGATTTTTCTTTTCCTGGTTTCTGAAGGTTGAGGCTTATATAATTAATTTGTGATCTTTTTGATTGTCTAATATAAGCATTTAATGCCATAAACTTCCTTCAAAGTACTGTTTTACATATACGCCAATTTTTATTAGTATACATTGGTAGTATAGGGAGTTTCATTTTGATAATTCCATATATGCATACAGTGTATCTTGGAACAAGTTCACTCCCCTACTATATTCCTATAATCCGTCTCTCTCCTCCCCTACCTTTTTCCAACAGTATTTGGTAGATTTCATTATGCTTTCTTCATGTATATGTGTACATGTATATATGTATAATCAATGTACTTGGATCCTCTTCACCGCCTAGTACCCTCTCCTTTCCTTATCCCCCTTTCCACAAATTCCCACCCCCCAGACATTCTCCCTTTTATCATTTTAGGTCTAGATCCCAGATATGGGCAAAAAACACCATAGTTGGCTTTTTTATCTTATTTCACTCCACATGATCTCTATTTTCACCCTTTTCTTGCAAATGACATAATTTCATTTTTTATGGCTGAATAATACTCCATTGTATATACATGCCACATTTTCTTCATTCATTGGTTTTTGGTCACCTAGGTTGAGTTCACAGCTTTGCTGTTGTAGACAGTGCTGCAATAAGCATGGGCGTGCAGGTATCTCTCATATATTGATTTACACTCCCTCAGTCATATGCACAGCAGTGGTATAGCAGGATTATAACATAGTTTTATTTGTAGCTTTATCATGAACCTCCACACTTATTTCCATAGTGGTTGTACTAGTTTACCTTCCTACCAACAGTTTATGAGGGTTCCTTTCTCCCTGTTTATTTTCTTGATGATAGCAATTCTGACTGAGGTAAAATGAAATCTCAGTGTAATTTTGATTTGCATTTCCTTTAGACCTGAATATGTTGAACATTTCTTCATGTATCAGCAATTTGTACCTAAGAACCGTAGTTTCAATTCATTTGTTCATTTGTTAATTGGATTATTTATTCTTTTAGTGTTTAATTTTTTGAACTCTATATGTTCTGGATAGTAATTCTTTATCCAATAAACAGCTAGCAAAGATTTTCTTCCATTCTTGATTCTGGTAATTGTTTCCTTTGCTGTGCAGAGGTTTTTTTAATTTTATGCAATTCCATTTGTTTATTCTTGCTCTTGTTTCCTGGGCAATCAGAGTCCTATTCAGAAAATAATTGCTTATTCCTGTGTTTTCTCTATGTTTTTCTCTTGTAGGTTCAAGTCCAGCCATTTGACCACTTTGAATCGATTTTTGTACAGGGTGAGAGACAGAGGGAGAGAAAGAGAGAGAGAGATACTTTCAGTCTTCCACATGTAGATAGCTAGTTTTCCCAACATCATTTATTGAAGAGGCTGTCTTTTCTCCAGCATGTTTTTGACACCTTTGTCAAAAATCAAATGATTGTAGCTGTGTAAGTTTATTTCTGGATCTTCTGTTGTTCTTTTGTTCTTAATGTCTGTTTTTGTGCCAATACTATACTGTTTTTGTTTCTTTGGCTCCCTGGTATAATTTGAGAGCCAGTAATTTGATACCTCCAACATTGTACTTTTTGCTCAGTATTATTTTTGCCATTCAGTGTCTTTTATGTTTCCATATGAATTTTAGGGTTGATTTTTCTATTTCTATGAAGAATGACATTGGGGTTTTGATGGAAATTTCATTGAATCTGTACCTTGTTTTCAATAGTATAGCCATTTTCACAATATTAATTCTGCCAATCATCTTTCCATCTTCTGGTGTCTTCTTCAATTTCTTTCTTCAATATTGGAGAGTTTACATTGTAGAGGTCTTTCTCCTCCTTAATTAAGTTTGTTCCTAAGAACAAATTAATGGAGATTATTCCTGATTTCTTTCTCAACTGTTTATTGTTAGCATATAGAAAAGCTACTGACTTTTGTATGTAATAGTATTTTGCTACATTGCCAAAAGTATTTGTCAGATTGAGGAACTTTTTCATGGAGTCGTTAGTGTCTTTTAAGTATAGGACCATATCATATCCCTGTAAGTGGGGATAATTTGACTTCTTCCTTATTTGAATCCCATTTATTTAGGCCTTTTTTTTTTTTTTTTTGCGATGCCGAACAAACCCAGGGACCTCAAGACAAATTATCCCTTTTATTTCTTTCTCTTGCCTTATTATCTGGCTAGGAATTACAGTATTGTATTGAATAAGAGTGGAGAGAATGAACACACCTGTCTCATTCCTATCTTCAGAGGAAATGATTTCGCTTTTTCCTTAGTTTTAGCTATAGGTTTATCATATTATAGTCTTTATTATGTTTAGAAACATTTCTTCTATACCTAGTGTCTTCAGAGCTTTTATCGTGAAAGAATGTCAGAGGTTTTTTCTGTACCTATTGGGATGATCATGTGATTGTTGTCCTTTATTCTCTTTATGTGTTGTATTATATTTATTGATTGCATATGCTGAACTATCCCAGTAATGACATCAACTTGGTCATTGTGTGTGATCTTTTTAATGTATTGTTGAATTCCGTTTGCAAGTATTTTATTGAGAATTTTTGCATCTATGTTAATCAAGGAATTGGTCTGTAATTTTTTTTAGTTATGCCCTTAATCAGGTTTTAGTATCAAGGTAATACTGGCTTGATAAAATGAGTTTGTTAGCATTCCTTCTATTTGAATTTTGTGGAATAGTTTGAGATGTTGGTATTAGTTCTTTTTTTTAAGTTGGTAGAAATTGGCGGTGACTCCATCCAGCCGTGGGCTCTTCTTTGCTGAGAGATGTCCCTGGTCTGAGATGACAGGCTCCCCAATTCCCAGTCCTTTTTATTTTGGGGTTTTTGTGGTCTAGGGTTTTTTGTGATACAGCTCTTTTCTTTCTTGAGCTAGGGTCTTGCGAACTGTTTTGCCTGGGCTGACTTTGAACTGTGATCCTCCTGATTTCTGTCTCCTGAATAGCTAGGATTACTTGTATGAGCCACCGGCACCCAGCTATCTTCCAGTTCTTGAATAGAGTGCCCTCCATTCTCTTCCATGTCACAACACCCATTCCCTATACTGCAGGACACTCAGAAGGTTTGATTCAAGACTCGCTATATTGCTGATAAGCCAAGTTTGATTCACGAGGCAGCTACCCTGTTAGCTACTACAGTAGAATGTCTGTGGGGTTCCAGAGATGAGAGTATGTAGAGGTTACTGACCTCTAGAGCAGTCCATAATCAGACAGCAAATGGATGGCTCCTGGCTACAGCACCCTCGGAGCTGGCTGGGAGATTATGTGAATTCCTTTTCCAAAGCTAGGCTGGTATGTAGACTTTAAGTTACTTATCTAAGTGGGTTTCAAACCTGTGAGGATTGTGAAATTTTCCAGTAGCTACAGCTGCCAATATCTGCACTCATGGTTTGCTGAGACCATCCCTTCTACCCTTACCCCTGCAGAGGGGATATACCTTGTTACCATGTTGTGTAGTTATCGGGCTATTTTGTTTTTCTTACTGTGCTGTTGGCCCATGTCTATCAATCTTCCAAGGGCCCAGTCTTTCTCTTGCTGCTTTCTAGTGTTCTTCCATAGTCACTCAACTCAAAATGCAGCTATATATCTGTTACTTTGGTTGGTCTTTGCTGAGGACAGTGAATGCTGACTACCTCTAGTGAGCCATCTTGAAATCCCCTTTAGCTCCTCTTAAACATTTCAAAAGTTTCCCATAATGGCGAATATTGTTCTGTGTCAACATACTCTCCCCCTAGTATGGAAAGTGCAAGAGTTAGGATTATAATGTGCTTTTATGTAAGAAGTAAAGTTTCTCCAAAAGGAGATGGAGACTTTGACATAGCATACATATCCAGGCACCTTTGACTGCTAAGTAGTGTGTTTGGAAACAGTGTCTCATGTCACTGTACTAAGCAGAGGCTACAGAGAGTTCTTACTGTCAGATTCACCTTCAAGCTTGTGTCATCCCAACAAGAAAACCACAAGATGCTCTTAGGTATTTTTTTCCTCCCTAGATAATAAACAATTTTATAATAAATGAAGCTTAAGAAGCCTATTTTTGTTAATGTGAAGCTAAAATAAGGTGATAATGTGGACTTTATTTTCAGTCTTGATTTTAATTTCAATTATAGGTACTTCTTTAGAAATGAGTTGCCCAATTGAGAAGGCACTTGCTGATGCTAAAGCTCTTGTTGAAAGATTAAGAGATCATGATGATGCAGCAGAATCTCTGATTGAGCAGACTACAGCTCTCAATAAGCAAGTAGAAGCAATGAAGCAGGTTTGCTTTTTCTTTCTTGTTGATTCCATTTAGCAAAAATAGTCATTGATGATTATGTATTGAATACTAAACTACTGGTTAATTAAGATTTTTTAAATATTCTCTAAAATTTTTAAGTAGCTTATGTGTTTGTTTTACTTTAGAATATCATTTTGTTATGTTCAGGGTGGTACTTGTGTATACATATCTGTGTGTGTGTGTGTGTGTGTGTGTGTGTGTGTACTAAATCCTGTAGATTTGATCACTTTTCTGACAGAGATGCACATTGGAGTTTAGTGAACTTGTTAGGTCTAAATACATTTCATAAAGACCAGATAAAACATTTTACTAATATTGGCACACATTTTGCCATGTCTTCTATAATGTAGAAATGTTTATGGTTTTCTTGTAAAAGTATTTGAATGATGCTATTTAACAACCAAGTGGTTTGTTAAAATGATGCAAGGCAATATCTGATTTACACCCTGTGCACTAATGCATTCATATTTTCTAGCTTTTCATTTAATGCCACCAATTACAAAAGAAATTAAAAGGGTTTTGCTTCTTTCTTTCTTTCTTTACCATATAACAGAACCTTCCAGTGGGCCATGGAGTCCAGCTACCATTTTAAACCATCCTCTGATAAAAATTTTCAGCTGTTTAAGAAATTATGTAATCTCTGATAGTAATGGAAAATGTATTCACAGCTAACTCTCTTGAAACTCACCCATTTTGTAAAAGGAAGCGTTCTTGGAATACCCTTGACAAAGCTACTGGAAATTACGGAACAAGTTTACTTGTGCTGTTTCACAACTGTGTTGCTGTAAACAGTCTACTTAATTCTATAAATGTGCAGATTGACTTAGGTACTCCAGTGAACATAGATTAAAAGGAGTTTGACATCTGAAGTTAAGAATCAATGAATCCACTGCTAAGTATTTGATAAGAATACCTTGGAAATAAATAAGTGTAAGCTGCAAAGTTAGATTCTCACCTCATTTTAAAAAGTGCAAAATCTTTTTACATTTCTTGCACATATTTTTTTTTATTGTTATTATTGATGTGGAATTCACATACCATAAAAATCACCACTGGATTTTAATATATTGACTACATGCATGCTCAATATGGTTGTGCAACCATACCACTCTCTAATTCCAGAACATTTTCATTACCCCTGAGCCCTATACCCATTACCAGTCTTATTCCAGCTTCCCATTTCCCTAAGCCCTGGCAACTACTAATCTTCCATCTCTATGGATTTCCCTGTTCTCAGTATTTCATATAAATGGAATAATATAATAAGTGGCTTTTTGTGATTGATTTCTTAATGTTTTTAAGACTTATTTCTGTTGTAGCATATATCAGCACTTTATTACTATTTATTGTTCAATAATATTGCATTGTAAGTATGCAGCATATATTGTTTATCCACTTATGAATTTTTGAGTTGTTGCACTTTTTACCTGTTATGAATAATGCTGCTGTGCATATTTGTGTATAAATTTTTATATGGATGTATGTTTTTCTCTTGGGAATATACCAAGGAGTAGAATGGATGGGTCACATAATAACCCTGTGTTTAACTTTTTGAGGATCTGCTTATTTATATTTTTCATACATCAGATATGTTTGTAAATATTTCCTCCTCACATGTTCTTTCTTAATCTTCTCATTAGTATCAGGAAGAAATTCAAGAACTTAATGAAGTTGCAAGACATAGACCACGATCCACTTTAGTTATGGGAATCCAGCAAGAAAACAGACAAATCAGAGAATTGCAGCAAGAGAACAAAGGCAAGATACATTGTAACTATGTGTAGCAAATCAAAAAAGAACTTTAATCTGCAATTGTATTGGTTTGGGATTGATTTATTTTTCAAAAATGATAAAAGAGCCAACTGAAGTTATTTTTGATGTTAGTTTCATTTCTAGTCCATATGCCTAAGTCAAATTTATTGCTGTTTATCCTGTTCTATATGTGAATGTGTGCCTTGCTTGGCATCATCAGAAATTCTCACCCTCAACATACAGTTTGCACAATTGTTTTTTCCCTATGAAATAACTGAACTTGCCCCGGTTTAGCTGCCCGTAATTTGTTGCTTAAATTGTCTTACCTGTCTCCTTGATTCTGGTCTCTTTTCCCCCTCCATCAATCTTCAACCAAAGCATCAGATTGATGCGTGTTACTCTTGCATAAGAACTTTCATTGTAGCCTTATTTCCTTAAACAAAGACCTTCAAAGTCAATTCCTGGCTTTCTTTTCTATCTTTTTTCTCCACAGTTCTTCTCCATGAACCATTTGTTCTTGCCATCTCAAACCCATTCCTCAGTATGTCATCCACTTTCATGCCTCCCTGCTTAGAATGCCCCTTCCTTCATTTTTCAACCCACAGAACTCAAGATCATCTTCTGTGAAGCTTTCATCAGTTTCTCCCCACAGACTTCTTTTAAATGTATTTGATAGCTCTTCACTCTGTACTTACCTTGTATTTTGTTTTCTCCACTAGATACTAAACTCTGTAGCTTTGGTATTCTTAATATAGTAAGAGCATTATCTGATATTTAATTGCTATTCAGTAAATGTTTATTGAAATGATTCTTAAGAAACAAGGTTAAAATGGCCATTTAAAAAACTAATGAGGGACTTCACTTGTCCCTTATTGTCCCTTCACTTGACATTTATTGCTATATGGCTAGTCTTTAGTGCATCATATTTTCTTTTTAAGATACACTATTTGTAAGTAGGTGTTTTGGTAAATACAGTAATGTAGAGAATAATTTGTGTACCCTTAACTCAAGTTTGAATAAAATATACTTATTCTTGATAGAATTGCGTACATCCCTAGAAGAACATCAGTCTGCCCTGGAACTTATAATGAGCAAGTATCGAGAACAGATGTTCAGATTGCTAATGGCTAACAAAAAAGATGACCCAGGTATAATAATGAAGTTAAAAGAACAGCACTCCAAGGTAATCCATTCTTATAAATGTGACTTGAAATGGAGAAGAGGAATGGTTAACTTGTGTTCAGATTTTTTAAAAATCACAGATATCTAATAATTGCCATTTTAAAATGATATTAAATACTTCATCTTTTTAATATTTTTCTTTTTCCTTATTTGTTGTTTTTTTAAGATGCTTTGTGTTTGATTTATTCTTCTAACTCCCTTTATCCTCCAGAAACTTTAAAATACATACATATGTGTATGTATGTACATACACATATATATTTGTTCAATGTGTATTGTATATATATATAAAAAATTATTTTGAAAACAAAGGTAAGTTTAATTCAAGATTATCTTTCTGCTTTTAAATATTTCTATCAATAAATTTGTGTAGCAATATCTATTGCAAAAACAAAATGCTGAAAACTTTTTTTAAAGTCTCAAAGCAACTAAGTGTAGATTTGTTTTTCTTACAACTATAGTCTGAACAAGGCTAATTTATCCAAACTATAAATGATCCTAATTATAATGGAAAACCATGGGGTTGAGGAGAGATTTTTCCAACTAACCTATTAAAATTTTGGTCCCCTTCCCCAATATTGCATATCACTTGACATCATTTTTTTAGAGGTAAGGTGGTTAGAAAGTAGTGTTTTTAATTGCTGCTCATCTTAATTGTCATTCCTGTGTCTTTTCCCTTTGGTACATCCCCATATTTGCTGACAACTGCTACAAAGACAAGTAGAATAACCTTTCCCATGTACATTTTATCTTAAACTGAATATTAACTGCTACTGTGAAATGAAAAGATTAGATTGTGATAACTAGGCAATTATCTGTATGGGATGATAGTGAGCTAACTATTCTTAGTTATTACTAATATTTAAGAAATAGTGATAGTTATATTTTTATCTTTCTCAATTATTGAATCATAATAATAAAATTGGGTTTAGTGGTATCTTATTATAATATTCATCTCCTAACCACATGGAAATCCGTGGATATTTAAGGACAATCTTTTGAATGTAAAATCTGTTGTTAATGAGAACATTATAAATCATATAAGTTTAAATATTAACCAAGGAGTATTTTTAGGACATAAGAAAAGGGTTTACTAAAATTATTGATAAGATAAATATAATCCTGAGGAAAAAAAGCCAAAAAGACCTTTTGTTTTTTAACTTGAAAAGTAAAATTTTGAAGATCTAAAGGAAAGAATACCATGACCAGGAAACAGTGTTTGGAATTACATACTGCAACTTACTGGTCCCATCTGGTAGAACTGTGTCAGAGAAATTGTTCTAAATCACATTAGGAATAGGGATGTAGTCAGTGATAGAGCATATGCTTAGCATGCATGAGGCTCTGGGTTCAATCCCCAGCACCAAAAATAGATAAATAAAACATTAGATTTTTACCATTCACCAGAGCTGTTTTTAATAATTAGTAAAGTTAAACATTTCATAAGATAGCTATAAAACATCAATTTTCATTTTGTAGATGGAATTCATCCAAGAGCTGATCCTTGCCTTCCATAAAATAACTATTCAGTTACTTGTTATTAATTCTAACCAATACATATTAATGTTTGTGATTTTGATTTTTCCTAAAAGGAGACACTTCAATTCAACTAAACAAACATTTATCAACACTTGGTTTGGGTTAGTTGTAATTACAAGGTGAATAAGTAAGTTATATGCCTGTATCACCTTGCATTGTAAGGAAAGATATAAACATAAGCATAACTAATACAGTGTAGGTTGTGATAGACATATGACTTGTTACTGTAATACTAAAGGGAACAATATTAGTTCCCATGAGGAAAATCTGGAAAAGAGAATCATCAGAGAAAGAGAATTCATCTAAATCCAGCCTTGAAATTAATTTTTGGAGGATGGAAGTTTCAATAAGCAGAAGTGGTATGATAAGCAAAGAAATACATGATAAAGACACAAAGTATTGGATTCTAGGGTGTGTTTAGGTACTAGTTCATTGATATTCACAAACATTAAAAATAAAATACACTTAGGGGTAATATGCAGCCACACATAGCAGAATTTTGGAATAAGAGACCTTTTGAAACAATTATAATACAGGATTTTGCACTAACCTAGAAATTTTTGAGTGTACACTTAAAAATCAGTATTAAGTTTAAGAACTCATTTCATCCAAATACTTATTTTAACAATATTTTTGAACAGATGCCTTTTTGGAAATCTTAAAAAAACAAACATTCAAACAGTTGGCTAACACGCATGAACTAACACTCATTCAGTTTTTCAATTACGGATAATATCCGTATTAACATTATAATGACTCTGTACTACAGATTGACATGGTACATCGTAACAGCTCCGAGAGATTCTTCCTTGATGCATCTCGACACATCCTTGAAGCACCTCAACATGGACTGGAGAGGAGGCACTTGGAAGCAAATCAGAATGTACACTAAATAAAACAGCCAACTGTTGGGGTGTGGGTGGAAAGGGGGATCCATTTAAAAAGTTCTTTTACTTTGAATTTCCCTTCCAAATTTGATAAGCAAATAAATGAAATCAACTAAAACAATGGTGTGCTTTTGATAGCCATGCTCTTCAGTGTTGAAACTGATATTTTCTGTGTTTCATGAAGCCTTTTATATATATGACTATAGATTTTAAAGAATTAGCCCACTTTTTTATTTGTTTGCTCTTACTGGCTGTTTATAATTTTGTTGCTGTTAAATGCTTGATCTATTTCTGTATATCAAAGTTGTTTTCTTGGCATTAATTTTAACCTGATTTCATAAAAATGTTAGCCTATTAGATTATTAAATTAAATGTTCTAATTTAGATTTTTGATAATTTGTAGTTCTTTGAGTTCACAAAACAAAAATGCCTTTTGTTTAGACATTATACTTAACTATAGTAGTGCTTTCTCCATTGTGTCTTAACTTTTTAAATACTCAGTTTTGGCGGGTCTTTATTGAGCAGAGTAGAAATAAGCCTAGACAAAAGTTAGAAATGAAAGCCATTTCAAGACAGTTCAAAGATTATGACGCTGACACTTGCCTTCAAGACAGTTTTGAAATCATAGCTCTTGCCTTCTGTGCCCATTAAAAGCTTTGCTATTCTTTTCTAAAGATTTCACAGTTGATAAGTGAGGCATGAACTGGGCCTATAAAAATATTGCTGTATTTGAAGTGTTGAGTGTTTTCTTCTGATGGCCTTGTTATAATAGACTCTGTACTAAAATTAATAATATGTTTTATTACATTTTAAAGACAAAGAATTATTTACTTCCTCTGTATTTTTTTAATGTAGGTCAGTGCCACAGGACTGACCAAACATAGAAAGATAAATTTATTACACTTACTTAATTTGGTGCTGCAGTTATCTGAATTTACTTGGTTTTCAATGTTACGTTCCCTTTACAGTGGGGGGGGATTCTAATGATTTGTAACTGTTGCAGAATATGACAGATTTTTTTTCTTGGTACTGGGGTTTGGACTCAGAGCCTCATGCTTAAAGGCAGGCACTCCACCACTTAAACCACTCAGCCAGCACTTTTTTGTGTTGGATATCATGGCAATAAGATCTTGTGAACTATTTGCTCAGACTGGCTTTGAACTATTTTCTCAGTTGCTAGGATTATAAGTGTGAGGCACCAGCACCCAGTTAGCAGATGTTTTGATGTCATTTTTGCTACTATAATCTAAGTCTATCCAATATAACTTTCTGAAGTGATGGAAATGTTCTTTCTCTGGGCTGTCTAATGTGGGGGTCACTTAGCCACATGTGACTGCTGAGCACTTGAAAGTGTCACTGGTGCAACTGAGGAAGAGAATTATTAATTTTTAAGGGTTTTTTATTTTAATTTTAATAGCACAAATAGGTCTTTTATGGTGCCTTTTTCCTAATTACTTATAGATTTCTTCATTAAAATAATGTAAGGAAAGCCTAGAGTTACAGCTTAGGGTAGGACATGTGCTTAGCTTGTGCAGGGCCCTAGGTTTGATTCCCAGCACTAAAAAATAAAGACCTGAATTTTTTTTTAAGATTATTAAATGGGCTAGAGATAGAGCTCAGTGGTAGAGTGCTTGCCTTAGCATGCTGAAGGCTCTGGGCTCAGTCCCAGCACCACTATGTGTGTGCATATATATATTCTATATTTCTAATATTAAATATGGTTTGCTTATGATCTATATTTTCCTCCATCATTTCTTCCATTTTAATAGTTTTGTAGGGTTTTTTTTGAGGTCTTGTTCAAATCATTTCCCAAACAGAATATATAAACTATTTAAAAGACTTAGTGCTTATTTGGGGACTTACTTATATAATTTAAGTTTTGCCTTAATAAAGTAACCTCCATTGCCAATGAGTAATATATGATCTATAGAAACTGTTTATTGATAAAATGATTATTCTCAACTCTCTGTTGATTTTAAACTCTTTTGACTGTCTCTTTCACTAGACTGTAGCTCCTTAATGTCAGAGAATATGTCTTAACAGGCTTCATATTCCTGCTTGGCACAATGCCTGACATATCATAGGTGTGCAAAAAGAAAAAAGCAAGAAAGGAGATTGAAAGAATTTATATACCTGACAAATGTGGATGTCTGTTAAACTGAAATTACATTTTCAACAGTTGGCAAAAAAGACCATTTAATATTTAAATACTTAAAAGCAGAAATTCTGTTCATTTTACTCAATCTTTCTTATATACCAAACACTAAATAGTGGGAAGACAAAACAGGAAGCAGTTCTTACTCTCAAAGAGAATTATGATCTAGAAAATTGAGTTGGGATCAATTCATAGACATGGATAATACAGAAAAGAAGGCTTCAGAGAAGAAAAGAGATTGAATATGTCAAGATTTTTTTGTCTTTTCCATTGCTTTGACCAATGATATATGTAGCTGTGAAAAATAAAATTTTCTTGATCATTGTGATGAGAGAAATTTAACATAAGTAAATTTCTTACTACTTAGGTTTAGTTACAAATTTGGTCCTAACAAATTTGATTTTGAAACACATTCATGATTGACGATCTTTGTTGTGATCTAACTACTATGTCCATGTTAAGTGACAGTGCAAATTTTATTTAAAAAAGAAAAAAGGAAGGGATCCAAAAATAAAAATAATAAAATATTTCAGTGATTTCCAACTCCCATCCCTTTTTTTTCAGGAGTTACAAGCACATGTTGACCAGATAACTGAAATGGTAGCAGTAATGAGGAGAGCTATTGAAATTGATGAGCAGCAAGGTTGCAAGGAACAGGAACGAATATTTCAACTTGAAGTAAGTTTTAAATTGCTAGTGTAGGTGAAAACTGTCCATACAAAGACATGTCAAAAAATATACCCCATTTTTAAGGTATACATGGAACATACGGTAATATTCTTTTTCTTAATCTGAATACTGATTATATGGGTGTATAGTGCAAGACCATTTATATAATAATGCAAGAACTTAGGATCAATAGCAACTTCCAATATACCACTAATAAAGTTGATTTTTGATCCTGTATTGTTTTCCTTACTAGATAAATGTACATCTTCAATTTAGTAATTTTGAAAATATGTTCATTCTATTAAGAGATGATGATGCAGGCAAATTTTTTTTAATCCACAAATAGTTTTTTTGCACACTTATTTTTCTGACTGAATAAGCCTTTGTCTTACTGTGGTAACAAAAGTACAAATCATTGTTGAGTAACTCAAGTCAGTACAATGGACTTTCATATTTTCAAGAGCTTAATTTTGAAATTATAGTCAGGAAAATAATTTCTCTGTGAGCATATACAGTGTTCTCCCATTTCTATAACAAGAATGGACAGACTCTTTCAACATGGGGCCAAAAAGTAAATACTTCAAACTTTGCAAACTACATAGTTTGTACCTGCTTAGCTTTGCCATTATAATGCTAAAGCAGCCACAAACAAAATTAGATAGGTATGGCTATGTTCCAGCAAAATCTAATTTACAGAGACAGGTGTCAGGCCTGGCCATAGTTTGCTAATCCTTGCTTTGTATCATTGAAACTTAGAAAGGGAGACCAAACACAAAAGGTATAGAATAAATTATGACAGGGTTTTGGGGGGTTTTTTGTTTGTTTTGTTTTTTGGTGGTACTGGTATTTGAACTCAGGGACCACTTGAGTCACTCCCCTAGTCCAATGAAAGCTTATTTTTCTTACAGTAATTAATCTAGAAGAAGAAGAAAAAAAAAATGGCAGAGTTGTTTATAATGCCAGACTGGTCATTTATCGTCCTTAAAAACCATCTTCTCAGTCAGCCCTGATGCTTTCCAATTCTAGTGAGGAAAACAAACCAGATAGTTTGTCCTACATTCCATGCTTTTGTGAAAGGTAATAAAAAAAAATAGATAATTGACATACTGAGAGGTTCTAATCTCAGAATATCATCCACTAGCTTTATATATATGTAACATTGGCATTTTCTTCATGTCTAGTGTATTTGTGAAATAAGGCAATTTCTGAGTTATCATGTCAATTATATCTGCATATATAAGAAGGCTTTACAGTGGCAGAAGAGGTTAAACATGATTCCCACTGATTTAAAAAAGTATTTCCTAAATAAAAGTTGTCAACTGCATATATTAGTACATATATGCCAGTTACATAAGTTATTTTTTATACCTTCATAATGCTTTTTAAAATCAACATTTGCCCTCTTGTAGATGGTGACCATCTTTGTTTTTGCTTGTCTCCTTATAGCAAGAAAACAAAGACTTGAGAGAGATTCTTCAAATAACTCGAGAATCATTTTTGAACCTTAAGAAGGATGATGCATCAGAAAGTACATCTTTGTCAGCACTAGTGACTAGTAGTGACCTGAGTCTGAGGAAGAGCTGAAGGACTGAAGCCTCGAGCTTCTTACAGGGCTCCACATAGTCACTAGAACTGGCCTATAAGTGAATGAATGAACAGAAAACTTAATTTCAATCAATCCTTTCTATTTCCTCATTAGTATATACAACAACTGGCTAAGAAATATCAATCAAAAAAATGTATAGTTTATGATCATAAACTTTATTGCAAAACATAACTGAAAAGTAGAAACTGAACCTGTTTAATTGGTGAACAAATGAAAGGTTTTCATAGTGACTCCTGAACATAGCAAAACCTGTCAGCAGTGCTATTGGCTTTCTGGATACTATGTAGATAAACTTAAATATTCTCAGTAAATGTTTGGGAATTCATAGAATTATCCCAATTTAAAAGTATCAGAATATGGTTTTGTGAATGGAAGATCTTTATACTAAATTTTATCCCAGTTTAGTGTCATAATTAACAAATAGCTTAATGTACCATGAAACTTTAGCTTTAGTAATTGCCTGTTTTCCCGTTAAATTCTTTGTCAAAGAAAACTCATGTGTAAAGAATGTACAAATGTTTTATGTGTACCACAAACAAAAGTGATCATTTAATTATAGCTAACTTGCCATAATTGATATTTAGCTAACATCTGTAACTTGCTTAAATATATGAAATATCACTTCAGTAATGAAAGAAGGAATATTACTTTCTAAGAAAGATCATATAATAAACATTTAGTAGGTTAAACTACTTCTTTGAAAGAATAAGTTTTGCTTCTCTGTTAAACATTGTTCTCTTCTCTGGTTGATATTTAAGCAAGTTATATAGTTCATTTAGTCAACAGAGTTGAAACGTTTGATATAGCAAAATAGGTATGGTCAGTTCAAAGAAAATCCAGAACTACTCTGGCTTATGGGACCCTTTTTTTTTTTTTTAAAGTAATTACTCTTCAGATACAGAAAAAGTAGATTCAGGTTTCAGAAAGTCAATTTCTAGATTTTTAAACTGCATCTGCTTGTCAAAACTAAGATTTTTTCATTTGGAAAGGAGGGATAGCAATCTGTGGATTTACAAGTATTTGTTTTTAAAAATATATATACAGTAAATAGTTTAAAAGCCACCAGATCAGAAATGTGTGTGCTTTAACACCAATTAAAATGATTGTTTTTTATTTTTAATGATTAGAATTAAAGAATAAGTATCAAATATACTCATTTATATTAATTACATATTTTAATTAGCACATAGAAAATTCTTTTGAATATATAGTTTGTTAAATAAGAAGTTTGGGAGAAGAAGGATAGAGGAGAGACTGACTAGAAAAGGGCTAATGGTCCAAACATTAAATAGATTTCTCATTCAGAGGCCTTAATGTTTTATAAATTAATGGGATTTTTTTTTATTTTTAACTTTATTTGGTTTTAGGAAAATATCCCTTAACTTAATGGCACATACAAATAGTTTTTATCCCAAGTGATAATTAAATAAGCTACACAGTTAAGATCAAGTGTGAGGCAATTTGTTTTGGCAGCTCTATTATAAAACATTACTTGAAAATACGTATTTTTATAAACAAATGAGTTAATTTATTCTTGGTCTTCTTGCTTGGATATAATTTTAAGATCATGGGTATTAAAATGTTTACTTTGTTTTTAGCAAGTTTTCCATCCCATATTTTTATTTAAACAGAACCTTAAATTTATGTCTAAGAGTATGTACTACATAAGAGCCTATTTTATCAATAAAGATGAGTGATTAAAAATTGGCATGGTCTCCAATTTATTTGAAAACAGTGCTTACATTTCTTACATATTGTTTATTTTTAAGTCCTATTCTGTCTTTTTACTATAACACTAATAATAAGCAACAACTTCTATTTGTATTTCTTAGGAATTGGCCAGCAACTTACTGCTGATCCTACAAACTTTTATCTGTAGTCGGTTGAGTAGAGCCCCCCCCCCACCAAGAGGAAAGCCCACTCTGGGTTTCTAGTGGCCCCTAAATCCAATGACTTATATCATTATAATGAAACAGATAGAGAAAACCATGTGAAGACAGAGGTAGAGATTTATACAAGTCAAGAAATACCAAGAATTGGCTACCACCAGAAACTTGGAGAGAGACATAGAATAGATTATTTCTCAGAGCTTCCACAAGGAACTAACTGCTTGATTTCAAACTCCTGGCCTCCAGAACTGTGAGAAAATATTTCAGTTGTTTTAAGCCACACAGCCTGGGAGAATATGTTATAGTTGTCCTAAGAAACTAATAAATCATTATCGATACAGAGATTATAGTTGTAAAAAAAACCATAACCTCACAGATAAAATGGTTTCTGTTCAAATTTATATTCATAGACATCAAGGTAACTTCCAAATTTTTATACTTCTAAACTGCTGCAATGAAAAAGTGAACGATCATAGATCCACAACTTAATTTGGGTTAACTACTACTACCTTTTTTTGATTGTCAAAGTGAAGCAGAATTTTTTTTTTTGTAAAATATTGATGAAGGTAATTTCTGATTGGCATTTGAAGAATATTTATCTCACTGGCTGCTCCTCAAGTTTTAGTTCACCTCTTAACCTTTTAACATTAGAGACCCACCATGTTCAATCCTATTCCGTGTTCCTCACTTCCTTAGCAATCTCACCAAGTCTCATACCGTTAAATGTCAATTGAATGCTTAGTGACTCCCAGATTTATAGCTCTAGGTTAGACCTCTCAAACTTCAGACTTACCCAGCCATAACTGCTAAAGAGACTTTTCAAATTTAAGATATCCAGTGCCATACTCCCAGTCTTTTTTTTTTTTTTTTATTTCAAAATAATTTTTTTTTGTTTTTATTCATATGTGCATACAAGGCTTAGGTCCTTTTTCCCCCCTGCCCCCACCCCCTCCCTTACCACCCACTCCATCCCCTCCCTCTCCCCTCCACCCCCTCGATACCCAGCAGAAACTATTTTGCCCTTATTTCTAATTTTGTTGTAGAGAGAGTATAAGCAATAATAGGAAGGAACAAGGGTTTTTGCTGGTTGAGATAAGGATAGCTATACAGGGCATTGACTCACATTGATTTCCTGTGCATGTGTGTTACCTTCTAGGTTAATTCTTTTTGATCTAACCTTTTCTCTAGTTCCTGGTCCCCTTTTCCTATTGGCCTCAGTTGCTTTTAAGGTATATGCTTTAGTTTCTCTGCGTTAAGGGCAACAAATGCTAGCTAATTTTTTAGGTGTCTTACCTATCCTCACATCTCCCTTGTGTGCTCTCGCTTTTATCATGTGCTCAAAGTCTAATCCCATTGTTGTGTTTGCCCTTGATCTAATGTCCACATATGAGGGAGAACATACGATTTTTGGTCTTTTGGGCCAGGCTAACCTCACTCAGAATGATGTTCTCCAATTCCATCCATTTACCAGCGAATGATAACATTTTGTTCTTCTTCATGGCTGCATAAAATTCCATTGTGTATAGATACCACATTTTCTTAATCCATTCATCAGTGGGGCATCTTGGCTGTTTCCATAACTTGGCTATTGTGAATAGTGCCGCAATAAACATGGGTGTGCAGGTGCCTCTGGCATACTCCCAGTCTTAATTCCTCCCAGAGAGCCTCCCATATTCCACCCCACCTCAGTGGATGACAAATTTATCTTCCAACTGGTAAGACCAAAAAACCTGGTGGTACATTGACTCCACTTTCTCTTATATCTTACATCTAATTCATCAGCAAGTACTGATAGCTCTCCTTTCAAAATATACCAAAAACCTATCATTTTTTACCATTTGTACTGCTACTATAGTAAAAGCCAAATTAGAGTGAACAATTTGGATTCAGCCTAAATATCTTGCAGTAGAAGTGTTAAATAAGCGTCAGCATCTACTCAGTGCATATCATTATATACTATGGTTTAAAGACTGTAGCAATAGGAAGAAAAATACCTGTTTGCATAATAAAAGCTTAATATTAAATATACATGAATAACTACAACAATGTAAAAAAATCAGGGCTGGTGGGAGTGGCTCAAGTGTTGGAGCACCTGCCTAGCAAGTGTGAGGCCCTGAGTTCAAACTCCAGTACTGCCAAAAAATAAAAAATAAAACCTCAGATGCATGAAAGGAAATGTCTAGAAGCAAGTAACCTCAGTAACAGTACACTTCCAATCAATTCCATTTACATTGGCCAGTTTCTCTTGCCTACAAACCAAAGCATTTTTAAACTACCATTGTGTACATGTGTTGTAATTTGTCCATCTATTTCCCCTCTTTATCGATATTCAAATTGCATATTTTTTAACACAAAAGAATGCTGCAGTAGACACCCATATACAGATCTTTATGGACTATAATTTCTAGTGTATGAATTTCGGTTGTTAGTTTTTTCTGTACTATGGTGAAATTTAATGCCCTGCCTTGCACACAGTAGACACTCTACCACTGAGCTACATCCATCCCCATCCCAGATCATGTTCATTTTTATCATTTACATTTTGGGGGGAGGGCAATACTGGGGTTGAACTGAGGCCTTTGCTCTTGCTAGGCAGGCACTACTGCTTGAGCTGCGCCTCCAACCCTTTTTGCCCTTCCAGTTATTTTTGAGATAGGGTCCTCCTTACCCTTTTCACCATAGCTGGGATGACGGGTACACACCACCACACCCAGAATTTTCTGTTGATAAGGGTCTCACAAGCTTTTTGCCTTGAACTGTAATCCTCCCAATCACCTCCCAAGTAGCTAATGTTACCAGATGAGGGAGTTCCCTCAGATTCCCAGTTTCCACGCAAAATCACAGATATTTGAGATCCAGAAACATGAAAAGAATTTTAAGGTGTCTCACACACAAAAGGAGAGTCTCACAATGTCAAAGTTTTAAGCAAGGATTTAGAATAACAATAAAAGTACAAAGAAATTTAAAGAGAGAAAAAGTAACTTCTAGAGAGACAAGCTCAAAAAGGAAGGCCTCTTGTGAGTTTTATATGCTCTGATCTGGGAAAATACAAGTCCTCAAGTGGAATTCTACTCATTAGACAATAGTTCTGGGTGGCCAAGATGGGTGCTATTCATTATTTTAAAACATGGAGATCTGATCTAGGACTATCGAAACACAGGGACAACAGGTGTTTTAGGACTGACTTTTGCTAGACATACTTTTCATTTTCTGTCCCCTCTACTCATTTGAGGAGCCTTGAAGACACAGCCCTTTATTGTTGGGAATGGGAACCTAAAGGACAGATGAGTGAGTATCCCATCCCCCATGGAGAGCACTCTGAGCCCCACACCCTGAGGAGTTATAAATCTGCATTTCTGCACACTAAAGAGGAGATACAGGGTCTCATAAATCTGCCATGGGGCTGATAAACAGAATGCTCTCAAGGTTGTTTCCCCCTATAAGGGTCAAACAGACCAGCTCATCGAAGAGAACCCATGCATCGTGAGTCCACAGCCAATGGAAAGAACCCACCTAACCCAGAGTTAAAGTGTCCATAAAAAAGCCCCAGCCTTCACCTCAGCGGAGAGCCAGTGGTTTCCGGGTTCCACTGCACTGTTCTAGCTGCAGCTCTTTCTTTCTCTAATAAATCCTACTTTGTGTGCTGACCTTGTGTCATGAGTCAATCTGCTGCCTCACAAGCCAATTCTTTGGCCCATGAAAGCAAGAACTCTCGACACTGCCCACA